CATTTTTGTTTTGTTTTGTTTTTTTTTTATTTTTTTTCTTCCTCAATTTCACAATTTTTCATTTATACTTCAGCTGATTATTATGAAAAAAAAGAAGAAAATAAATCATTATTTTTGCAATTATGCCCAATTATTGTATCCAATTTATCATTAAAAATAAAATAAATGTATTTCATAAAATAATTCATTAATATTTCTGCTCAACAATTTCTTCATTTAACGAAAAAATTGAAATCATTTAATTAATAGAATGGTAAAATAAATTGTAGCAGTGATTAGAATGAAATAAGAATTGGAATTGATGTATGGATAAACGAATCATTTCCTCACTTCCTCATTCCATTTATTCCACTCTATTTTTATTCTTTTTTAAAATTTTTTTTTAAAACATTAGCGAACTAACTTTTTTTTCTCTTCCCTCTCATCACTTTTCCATTCTTCTACTTCTACACTCCTTCGCTTTCTTGTGATAAGAATTAATTATATTGTAATGTAATCAATAATATATCATTCTTTCCCTCCCTCTCCTTTCCTGCTCTCTTTCCATCACCTTTGGAATGATCATACATCAAAAATAAAACACTTTTCACCTTATTCACCACCATCAGTGCTACCGTTTTCCAGTAATGTGAATGGAAAGGATGCATAATTGTTCCATCAAATTTTCCTATTATTATTCAACATTTTCTTTATTTTCTTGTTTAAAAAAAAAGAAAAATTAAAATTTTCCATTTATAATTATTTTGAAATTATTAGACAACTATAATATACGATATCTTAAAGAAATTAACAGAATGAAATCATATACTTATTTCCAGATAATTATTGTAAGGTAATCAGTAATATAGCATTCTCTCCTTCCTATCTCTTTCCCTTAATTGCAGTAAAAATAAAAAAAAAAGTATCAATGAAACGTTGATATAATAAATAAGTCTGGTTCGATTAGCTTCCATTTTTAATAATCTATGATAATGGATAAGCCTAAATCAACACTATTATAGTTGATGGATAAAATTTCTGAGATAACTGATCATCCGACTATCATTCTTATCATTTTTTCAATCCTATTAGTTTATGATATTTATTAGTTTTCAACAGTAACTATTTGCTAATCAATCTTTTTTTAAACTATATTTGCAGAATATTTGATCATTTTGAGATGCTAATTACTCATATCGAACGATATGTGACATTTCCAATTATATATGCAACATTTCATTGATACTTTTTTCTTATTTTCTACTGCAATTATTTAACTTCATTCATAGCATTTGAATATATAGAAAAATTATTAGCATGGCGTCTTTTTTCAATTTGGCATTAATCGATTTATTTAAAAAAAAAAAAGAATTAATAGACACGATCAAGAAAATTGAAAATGTTCAATTCTCTATTATTATATTTTATTCTACTTAAAAATTTTTTAAATTCTAAACTTTGAATTTTACAGCTAAACTGGTGCATCAAATCGATGACCACATATGCTGCAATTTATTATTGCTATTATTAAAAAAAAGTATTTCTCATTCTTCTTTTCGAAAAATTTCAAGCACAGCATTTTTTTTTAATGAGAATTTGGAAAATTTAATGATTCCCCTTCTTTTTCATATTTCTTTAAATCATAGACAATTTTGCTATTTCTTTCATGCCAATACATTATCGCTTTTTAATCATTTATGTTAATTATATCATTAATTGAAAAAGCATCAATGTTTATAGCACATTGAAAAAGCAAACTGAAAATTCATTATCACTTCTAGTACCTATTTAATATCAATTCAAATGTAATTAACTTCATTGATGAAATTTTATTAAAACAACAGCAACTTTGCTGAAATATTTTGGGGAAAATTAAATTCAAAAAAAAAAAAAACGAAAAGTAAACAAACTAAAAAAATATTCTCTTTTTCTTACTCTCTCAAGAAAATATCAATTTACAAAATTATTATCGGTTCTGTATTATCCATTGTATTAATATTATCCGTTTAATAAGTAAAATTTTCCCCCGTTTTAAATAATTTTTTTTATTGATGTAATTTGAACATATATTTGACGTATATTTGATGTAAAATATAAAATCTGAATTCATCGATTTTATACAACTAAAATTTATGCAACACCTTTTCTTCTTCAATTTTTTTATAGGCTCAGTATGGAAAAATCTTTGATTTGTTACATTTATTATTAATAACTAATCTTCAATAAATATTAATGAATTTAAGCGCAGAATTTTTTTTAATAAATTGATGAGTGTAAATAAAAATAGTTTAAAATAATTGAGAATTTTTGGCAAATAATTCTTTAAAAGTGTTAAATTTTCAATAACATTTATATAAATAATATAAACTTAATACTTGTATTATTTTCGTATGAAAAAAAGCTAAAGTTTGAAACACATTATTCACATGATTTCTTCATAATTTTTATTTCATTCCTCCTTATCTCTTATCACCATCACCACTGACATCATCATCATCATCATCATTGTGGTCATTACCATCGTTGCCATCATCAACATTATCATCATCACCAATATCACCACTACCATCATCACCGTCATCATTATCAATCAATAGCACTTTTCCCGTGCGAAGAAAACTTCCCATAGCACTATAAATAATTTCGAAAGCATTACTTACTGCAAAACGAATAACTCTCTTGAGAGTTTACCGACAACTTCTGCTCTTTGCTCAAATAATTGTTTTTATTTTTCAACAATTGAAAAAAAAATCCATTAAATATTAATGATAAATGCGATAAATAAGATTTTGATCGTATTTGTTTCAATTAATTACTCCATAAAAACGTGGGAAATATTTGTTACTACTTTAAAAATCAACAAATTTCCAATTTTTATTTCATTTGAAAGAACGGAAAATTCGTATTATAATTTTCTCATCAACCATATATATTAAACATTTTCTTCTTCCAAAATTTATTTCTCATTTTTTCCAATTTCTTGGAGAAGAAATTTTTTATGACCAAATTAATGTTATCCATTAGTGAGCTATGCTAGTTTATGTATTAAACGGAAATACTAATGTCAGTTTACACTTCCAAAAACATCATTCTTTTCTTTTTTGATGGCAAGAAATTGAAATTTCAAAAAGATTAATATCGAATATTATCTTATAGCATCTATTTAAGAAATCTTTTGACAGTTTTCAAAATTGTTTGACC